AGAGAGGACATCATCATCCTAGCCCTAATGAGGTTCCCTAGCTGGGTCATGAAACATCTGCAAGTAAATAGCCAAGTTCAGAAAGCACCAGAGACCCCACAGTCCTCCTCTCCACAAACTCACTCCCTTCTAGCATTGATGATGTTCCCTAGCTGGGTCATGAAACGTCTGCAACAAAACATCCAGCTGAGGGAGCACCAGGGACCCCACCTCCTCCTCCTCCTCCTCCTCCTCCTCTCACAAATCCTCCTCCCTTCTAGCATTGATAATGTTCCCTAGTTGGATCATAAAACATCTGCATGAAAACAGCCAGGAAGAACCGAAGAAGCTTCTTGGATGAGAAGCGAAACATTTTCAAGGGGAAAAAAAAACAAAAAAGTCGAATTGCCTCTTGAGAAAAGCGCCTTTGGGACCAACGGGGCCTGAATGATGAAGACCCTTTTCCAGGGCAGGGAAAGCGAGTCCCCCCCCCCCCTCGCTCCGAGTCCACCCCCAGAAGCCTACCTTTCCTTTCCCCAGGAGGAGGGGGCTGAGGTCATATCCGTCCAGTGTGACGTTGGGGAGAGGCACCCCGGCCAGCGCGGCCAGAGTGGGAAGGATGTCCAAGGTACTGGCCAGTTCATGGGTCACCCCTGGCGCCAAGAGAAAGCAGTCAACAGGGGGCTTGTCGAAGGAACATCCGCTCTGCCCCGGCCCCATTGCAAGCCGAAGACCTCCCCTCCCACTGCCTCACCTGGCGCAATGCGACCTGGCCAATAAGCCACGGCAGGCTCCCTCATGCCCCCTTCATAGGTCGTCCCCTTCCCACATTTCAGCAAGCCCGCACTGCCTCCTCGGGAGCCACGCATCGTCTCTGGGCTGCCAAGAAAGGAGAAACCATATTTTAGGAAAGGTCCTTGGACCTCAGGAGCAGCCAAGCAAGTTTTAAACAGTTTTGTTTTAATCCCTTACCGGGGAAAATCTGTTCGATGCTCCTGCTTCTATAAATTCTGGGCCTGTTTTGCAAGGGTTGGGGGAGAACTATTCTTGTTGTAATACAACTATCGGCATTCAACTAGGGGGGACAATATATGTGTGTGGGGTTTTGTCTTTTTTTTTTTTTGTTTTTAAATGCACACTTTCTTTAAAAATGTTTGTCCAGTCTTCTTTTTGAAGTTTGCCAAACGGCAACTAGACTTTCTTGGGTTTTTTTCCCTTGAAAAAGTTTCACTTCTCATCCAAGAAGCTTCTTCAGTTCTAAAGAACACTGAAGAACTTCTCCAGAACTAATGAAGCTTCTTGGATGAGAAGCAAAAGATTTTCAAGGGAAAAAACTCCCAAGGAAATCCAGGTGGTTTTGGGAAAAGCGCCTCTGGGACACAGCCATGATGTTCTGTTAAACCGGGTTCTCTGCTATTGTGAAAACCCACCCAAATTAAGCCAAGCTGCTTCCATGGCAGCACAATACACTGCCTGGCCTACTCCCACCCTTGATGCTAAATGGACGCAAACTGACCATTCCTGACCCAAAGACTGGCCCGGCTGCACACTCACCCATTGTCAGACGTGAAAAACACCAGCGTGTTTCTGTGGACGCCAGCATCCTGCAGGGCCTGCAAGAGGGAGCCCACTGATGCGTCAAACTCCAGGAGGGCATCGCCGTAAGGCCCTCTCAGGGACCGGCCCGTGTAGTTTTGGCTCCCAAACTGGGGATAATGGGTATGCTGCGGAGAGGGAAGACGGACACAAACATCGACACTGTAAGCCGGCCAGGTCATTGGCTGAGATGGGCAGCTATAGGAATTGAACTGAATTTATTTATTTATTTATTTATTTATGAGATTTATATACCGCTTTAAGTGCGAGCACTCTCTAAGCGGTGTACACCAGTAAGCAATGTATATATATATATATATATATTTACATAGCCCCCAACAATCTGGGTCCTCATTTTACCTACCCCGGAAGGAGGGAAGGCTGAGTCAACCTTGAGCCGGTGAGATTTGAACCGCTGACCTGCTGAACACAGTCAGCTAAAGTGGCCTGCAGTACTGCACTCTTAACTGCTGCGCCACCTCGGCTCTTATAATTGAATTGAATTAATTAATGAATGCAGAGAACAGCAACAAAGATGATTAGGGGAACGGAGGCTAAAACATACGAAGAACGGGGGGCGGCTAGGGGGGTGGTGGAAGCAACGGAGACAGAGAAGCAGCATCGCCCCCAGGAGCAAGGCAGCCTCCACAGGACACCCAGGGCCAAAGGCCATCAAGCTTTCAATCAGCCCCTCCAGATAAATGGGAGACTACTTAAGACAGTTCATTTAGTGACCGAAGTTACAACAGGACTGAAAAAAGCAACTTAGGACCATCTTTCACCCTTATGACCGTGACAGAATCCCCGGGGTCACCTGGTCCAAATTCAGTTGCGCTTGGCCATTGACTCCCCTTTAGGACCATCGTGGTGTCCCGGGGGGGAGGGGTGACGGGATTCCCCTTTTGTTGGCCTTCTGCCAGGCAAAGTCCATGGGCAAGCTGGATTCCCTGCTTCACAACTGTGTTACCAACTGAACAATTTCAGTGGTTCGCTTAACAAACGAGGTGAGAAAGGTCACACAAGGGAGGGAAAAATTCACCTAACCGCTGCTTCGCTCAGCGGGCGTAAGCCAAAGGTTGCCTGCATAAAATGGGCTGTTTACCCCACCCCAACCTTCCTGCTCACCCCCCCCCCATCCCAAGTCGACCCCGGTCCCATCCCGTAAGACTCACGTGAGAGGCGTAATAGAGCAAGAAGGGCTGCTTGCGCTGAGCGGAATCCAGGATGAACTCGCGCGCGAAGTTACTGTAGTGGCCCTCCAGGCGGGGGAAGTATATGGGCTGCTCCAGGATGCTCTGGTTCAGGAATAGGGGGACCGGGACCACCCCCTGGTCGCAGGCCCCAAAGCACCGAGTGCTGGGTGGGAAGCAGGTTAGATTCTGGCAGGGGCCCTGCAAGAATAACGTGGAGTAACAGAGTGGGAAGGGACCTTGGAGGTCTTCTAGTCCAACCCCTTGCTCGGTGGTTCCCAGGGAAGGCAAGCAGTCTGGGAAGATTCTTGCAGACATTTTAAAAATGTGAATTAAAAGGACAAAGAAACAAAAACAGACAATATCCCCTCCCCCCCAGTTGAACACTGAGAAATAGATTGCAACAACAATAACTTCTATTTATAAGGTTTATAAACTTTCACATCCAGTTGCAACCCAACTGACCTGTCCTATATTGTATATGTGAAGAAGAAAAAAATAGGTAGCAGGTTAAACCACAGGAAGTTGAAGTTCAAGGCCCTCCGTTAACCGTCTGTTACTGTAATTTACTTGTAGAAAGTAAAAGAGAAAGTTTTTATCTTTGCGGTTTTGTATTTTAAACTTTGGAATAAAATAACAGCGGTTAAGGAAGTCAATAAAGTTGCTTGCTGCAGCTGTTTAAGAGTTCCTCTGGTTGCTTGGACCTCACATACATACACAAACACACACAAACAGAGCCATCTTAAGGCCAATTAAAAGAGGGACCATGACGGCATCTTGGGTGGGATCACCTGTAGCAGAAGCCACAAGCAGCTGTTTAACCCAGTCATTATTTGTAAATCTTAGTCTTAAGTCTACCAGTGTTTCTCAACCTTGACAATTTTAAGGCATGTGGACTTCAACTCCCAGAATTCCACAGGTCAGCATTGCTGGCTGTGGAATTCTGGGAGTTGAAGTCCACATGCCTTAAAATTGTCAAGGTTGAGAAACACTGAATACAATTTGCAAATTTTCAGTCAGGAAAATAACCCCCAAAGGCATGGGGGGTTGCCTTTATTGGCGGTCTTTCTGAGCAGAGATTGTCAAATAAATTGTCTGGTCAACTAAACTGGTGATCCTCAACCTCTGTGAGTTTAAGAGGAGTGGACTTCAACTCCCAGCATGCTGGCTGGGGAATTCTGGGAGTTGAAAAGTCTAAAAGTTGCCAACCTTGAAAGATCTCGTTGCTGTCATCAGCAGCTGAGGCGCACACACGCGCGCACACACACACACACTTCCATACATTTCTCCTAAATTCCCTTCATCTCCTCCTCCTATTTTCTCCAGATGATTGAAGTGTTTTATCTAGCTTTTAAAATCTTGAGGAAATTACATTCATTCCAGATGGGCATTGAAAGGTTTCTTCCATTCTGGAACTAATTCTAAGTGCCATTCACATGTTTCCAAGCTGACTCAGAATCTGGGGTTTGAGCTGGTGGTCTTCCTGCAGATGTTTCATTGCCCCTCTAGGTGACTTCATCCGTGCAAAAACTGGAATATTCTTTATTGGCCGAGTGTGATTGGAAACACAAGGAATTTATCTCTGTGGTGTGTAAGCTCTCAAAGTACACAGAGATAACAAAGTGATCAATCACAGATTCTAAATCATAGTTGCAGACTACTATATGGGTCAATATCTCTGGACAGAAGCAGTGATGAAGGAGTTAGGGATTTAGCAGAGTGATGGCATGGAGGAAGGAACTGTCCATGTGTCCAGTTGTTTTAGCAGGCAATGCCCTACAGTGGTGTCTTGAGGGGCAAGCTGAAACAGTTCGTGTCCAGGACGTGGGGGGTCTGTGGATATTTTCTCAGTCCTCTTTCATCTGAAGGGAGACGGCTTTGCTTTCTGTTTATACTGCAATAGAGGAATCTCCAACTCACACAAACAATCAGACAATAAACAGCAACCTAATCAAGAAATCACCACGAACACTTCCAGCAACTCTGACAGGGTGAAACACACACATATAAAAACGCTCATATATAAACCCCCCTCCCTTCTAGCACTGATGATGTTCCCTAGTTGGGTCATGAAACGTCTTGCAAGAAAACCACCCAGTTCAAACAGCACCAGGCACCCCACGGGTCAACCCGGAGCCACAATGATGCTCTTCCACCCAAGGGGATCCAAGTGGAACGACAGTCTCAGGGAGCCCGGAATCCCCGCCACGCCACCCCTGCGGCTTCTCACCTGGTCGTGCGAGTAGGGTATCCCGAAGAAGTGGTCAAAGCCTTGGTTGGTGGGCAGGAACATGCCCTTGGGACCCAGGCCCAGATGCCACTTGCCAACCATGGCCGTGGTGTAGCCGCACTCCTTCAGCAATTCGGCCACCGTCACCTCGGCCAGCGGGAGGCCTCCCTGCGAGTCGGGATAAAAGACGCTCGGATAGATCCCGGAACGGGTCTGGTAGCGTCCCGTCAGGAGGGCTGCCCTGCGGGGAGGAGGGACGAGAGAGACAGAGAGAGAGAGAGAGTGAGTGAGTGTGTGTGTGTGTGTGTGAGAGAGAGAGAGATACAGAGAATTCTCGACTCACAACTATTCATTTAGTGACCGTTCAAGGTTATAAGGGCACTGAAAAAAGTGTCTTATGGCCGTTTTTCACCCTTATGACCGCTGCAGCCATCCCCAGACTCACGTGATCAAAATTCAGACGCTTGGCCACTGACTCCTATTTATGACAGCCGCAATGATCCCCTTGTGTGACCTTCGGACAAGCAAAGCCAACGGGGGAAGCCAGATTTACTTAACAAGCATGTGACCAGCTTAGCAATCGCAGCGATTCACTTAAACACCGGTCGTAAATGGGGACAAAATTCACTTGAGAACTGTCTCACTTTGCAACAGAAATTTTGGACTCAATTGTTAAATCAAGGACTATTTGTAGGTGGCGAGGTCCAATCATCATCAGAGGCAGAGCTGGAGGCCCTAAGTCCTCCCTGAGGAACACAAAGGCTGGAAGATCTCCACACTGGAAGACAGAGCCACCTCAAGAGGTTCGGTTCCAGCTCTTGGTCCCGTTGCTCTTCTGTCCAGGCTCCGAGGCCAAGAGTCTTCTCCATGAACCCTCTTGACAAAAGGGAGGGGGACAGACTCTTCTGAGGTGGCCATCAGAAGACTAGGAGAGGACCACTCTACCTGGAAGGGCTGCAGACGGAGCTGCTGCTGTAGAAGTCGGTGAAGCGCAGGCCCTCGGCAGCCATCCTGTCCAGGTTGGGGGTGGAAGAGGTGGGGTGCCCGTAGATGCCCAGATCTCCGAAGCCCAGATCATCCGCAAAAATCAGGACGATGTTGGGGGGCTGGTATGCTGGCTCAAGGGAGGCCAGCAGCAGCAGCGGGCACAGGGCAAGGAGCCAGGACAGAGGCAAGGATGACATGGTTGACCAGAAGGGATGCTGGCCAGGCCAGGTCAGCAGGAAGTCTGTCCAAGCCACAAGGCCACCCTCGAAGCTTCAGCTTGAGTGGGGCGCCAAAGGTCCACCTCGCCGTTTATGCCCCACTGTTCTCCAATCAGGAGATTAGCACGTGGGACTTGACCGTCACCGGAAGGGTCTTCAGCCGGAGGTTGACTCCTTAAGATCTTTGCAGACCCCACGCTCGCTCGAAAGCTGCAAAAGAACAAAAGACTCAGGAAAAATATGGCAAACACCTAGAAAACACAGCAATAAAGACAATAACAGGATATTTCAGGAGCTCCCAGTCCAGGAGCAGGCACCCACTGGTGCGTAAGATGGATCTGCGCAAAGCTCCCCCTGTCTAGGAGCCATAAGTCCAAGAGGTCCCCCAAATGGTGTGCCAGACCTGCATGGGGAGTGTTACCCCATCCAGAGTCAGAGGTGTCAACTCTCTTGACCCTGGGGGGGGCAAAAACCCCAGCCACTCCATCTTGCTGGAATTGAGCACACTGATGATCCCACAAGCCCCAGGCTGGTGGATGACCTGTCCTACCACCTCCGTATACATGTTACATAGGAACAGAGAGATATTGGGGCCCTGAGGCCCCCCACTTAATAGAGCCCCCCACACACTGACTGATACCAGCCACAGAGAAAGCAGGAAAACCACTGCAAAACAGCCCCCCCTGAATCCCAAGAGCCCGTCCAGCATGGTTGATATCAAAAGCCGCTGAGATCCAGAAGGGCCAGGATGGACCCATCACCCTCATCCTGAGCCCTCCAAAGGTCATCCATCCATATGTATGACCAATGACGTCTCAGCACTAAAGGTAGTCCTTGACTTACAACAATTGAGCCCAACATTTCTGTTGCTAAACAACCTTTCTTACCACAGTTGTTAAGTGAACCACTGCAAAGATTAAGTTAGCAACACCATTGTTAAGCGAATCCGGCTTCCCTCTTGACTTGGCTGGTCAGAAGTTTGCAAAAGCGGATCAAGTGTCCTCAGGACACAGCAACCGTCGTAAATACAAGTCAGTTGCCAAGCATCCAGATTTTGGACAGTGATCATGGGGATGCCGCAACGGCGGTAAGTGTGAAAAGCGGTAGTAAGTCATTTTTTCTTTCAGGGCTGTTGTAACTTTGACCGGTCTGTAAATGTAAATGTTGTAAATCGAGGACTAACGGTACAGGGTGCTCTGAATCCGGGCAGCTTCAAGAAAGACGCTCTCTAGCTGGGAATTCCTCACCCTCCCCCGCTCCTTCCCTAAAATGCCCAGCAGGCAGCCCCGCGGAGGCCCCCCACCCACTTTCGCAGAGAGCCAGGCACTCCCCCCACCTCCAGAATCCCACGAGAAGCCGCCCCCCCCCCAGACGCCCTCCGGCCCTCGGGACTTTCCGAGCTGCGGCTCCCACCGTGCCCGGACCGACCGCCAAGCTGCCGCTCCTGCGGGCTGGCCCCGAGGGACGCCGAAGCCTGCACCTCTGGAGGGCGCCGGGTTGGCGATGGGGGAGAAGAGCCGGCTGCATCCGCGACGCTGCGGGCAGGCGCTGCCGGACTTAGCGCTGGAAGGCAACCGGAGGTCTTCTAGTCCAGCCCCCCTTCCGCCCAAGGCAGGAGACCTCCGAGGCGAGACCGCGCCTGGAACCCCAAGAGTGCTTGGGGAGGGGGAGGGGGCCAAGGCAACCCCCCCCCGAGACCCCAACCCGACTGCCAGCGTCCCGGCAGCCCCGATGGAGCAGCGCCTCGGCCCCGGCACGGCCTCTCCTGCCGGCCCCTCGCCCTCTCGCCCGCCGGCTGCGCAGCCTTGCCTCGCCCGCGCCGTGGAAGCCCCGCTCCTCCACAGCGCCGCCGCCAGCTGTGCCTGCCAGCCCCGGCCGGAGTCACGCGGGCAGCGGAGGCAGCCTTCAAGAGCCGAGGCAGGGGGCGGGGCTTCTCCGGACGGAGGGGAGGGGCCTCTGCGCTGACCTTTGGCCGCCGCCGCCCCTGGAGCCCCCGCGGGGAGAGGCTGGGCTGCGGGAGGGGCTCCGGGCGGAGCAGAAGTCGGCGGCGGCGGGGGGGGGGTCTCTGCAGCTGGACCGAGTTGCTGCGCCCGCCTCTGCCCGCAGAGGGTGCCGGGGCTGCGGCAGGGGCTCCTCCGATGCCCGACGCGGGCGGGCTGCCTGCTTGGGCTGCCCCCTGTTAGTCCTGCCTTGCGGGGTGCGGGCGGGAGACGGGCTGGGAGACCCCGCCCCAGGCCCGGGGCAGGGGAAGGCGGGACCCGCGACCGAGAGCGCCCAGCCCGGCCATGCTGGGAGGGAGCGGCTGCTTCTTTCCCACGGGGTGGGGTGGTGCCTGGGGGAACCCCGCCCCCGAGGCTGGTGGGGAGCTTTTTAAACAACACAAACACCAAAGATACATAGACACACAACCACACACACATAGATATATACATACATATTTATTTATTCATGAGACTTATATACGGCTTTAAGTGCAAGCACTCTCTAAGCCAGCGGTTCTCAACCTATGGGTCGCGACCCCATTTGGGGTTGATCGACCATTTTTCGGGGGTCACCAAACAATGCAATCCGCCATTTTCCCCCCTCAGGGGGCAGCACTGCGCATTCACGTTGCGCATGGGGGTGGCGTTGCGCGTGCGCGGCACATTTGTGTGACAGGGTCGCCGTCACACAAACGTTGAGAAACGCTGCTCTAAGCGGTGTACACCAATAAGCAATGTATATATATATTTACATTGTAGGTCTTTGGTTGTTCGGGTTTTCTCCCGCGTAAAATTGGAAGTGTCTTGGCGACGTTTCGACGAAGTCCCATTCGTCATCTTCAGGCTGGTGCTTTCAGCTTCGTGCTTTGAGCTTTACGCGGGAGAAAACCCGAACAACCAAAGACCTACATACAAACACCCGCGAAAACCTCAGAAAACAAATATTTACATTGCATCCCACAATCTGGGTCCTCATTTTACCTACCCCGGAAGGATGGAAGGCTGAGTCAACCTTGAGCCGGTGAGATTTGAACCGCTGACCTGCTGAACACAGTCAGCTAAAGTGGCCTGCAGTACTGCACTCTAACTGCTGGGCCACCTCGGCTCTTAATCACACATAGATACATAAAGTCCCACCTCTAATCACACATAGATACATAAAATCGCACACATGCAGATACATACAAACACAATCACAATCTCTCACACACACACATACATACAATCAGTACTTTTTTTCTAAAAAAAAAAAAAGAAAGAAAAGGTGCCGGAACTCCGTTCTGGGCGTTCTATGAGGAAAAAAAGCCCTGCATACAATCACAATCACACACACAGATGCAGGGCTTTTTGTCTCATAGAACGCCCAGAACAGAGTTCCGGCACCTTTTTTGGATGGAACCTTGTAGGGTAGGCAAGGCGGGTTGTATAACGTGTGAGTTTCAGCACCTTTTTTTTTTTTTTACAAAAAAAGCACTGCTTAGATGCACACACAGTCACACACACAGAGAGAGATGTACACTCAATCACAACCACACACACACACCCCATACATACATACACACAATCGCAATAAAGCTCGCAAAGAGCATTCTCCCCCTTTTTTCCCAAGGGGATGAATTGCGAGAGGGCATGGCCCACCCCAGGTTGCCCAGTGGATAAAGAACCAGGATTGAAGGGCGAAGGCAGCACTGCGGGGGGGGGGGACCCCGAGCCCAGCCAGAGGAGGTCCCAGCTGGGCAGATCCGGGTCCAGCCGGTGCCCGGAGGGAGGCAGCCCCAGACGGTGGATGGCAGGCCGGTCGGCTTCACTTCTGCTCCCTTCCTGACCAGTCTGGGCCTGACCAGGAAGCGGAGGAGGTTCTTTGGGGGCAGAGGGGGTGGGGGGCTGGGGGGGACCCATCGGACACCACCAGACACCACCAGGAACACCATAGCTGGGGAAGGGCAGGGAGGCTGCTCTAAAGGCGTCTCCTGAGTCATGTCTCCAGGTAAAACACCTGGGTCTCATCCGGATGCAAGTCTGCCTTTAAGTCAACCGGGGAAACCCGATTCACTTAACAACTGGGTTACTAGCTTAGCAACTGCGGTGATTCACTTAACAACTGTGGCAAAAAAAAGGGGGGACAAAAGCTCACTTAACAAAAGTCTCCCTTAGCAACAAAAGTTTTGTTGTTGTAGTCATAAGTTGAGGGCTACCTCCACTCTCACAACAACGCCCCTTTGACTTTCATTGGAGGTTTTCAAGGAAAGATTGGGTTTGCCTGAAATGGTGCAGGCTTTCCTGCTTGAGCAGGGGGTCGGTCTAGAAGACCTCCCAGGTCCCTTCCGACTCTGTGATTTGGTTATTCTGAAATCTGCTCAGGCCCCCTTGGCCGTCCTCCCCACACACCGACCCCAGGAGGCTCCAGGGACCGAGAGGGCTCTGCCTGCTCTCTGGGGCTAGCCCCCATTGCGTGATGCGCATGTCTCACCATCCCTCTATGGCCCCCACAGAGGCTGCTGGAATTTTCTAGAACAGTGGTTCTCAACCTGTGGGTCGGGACCCCATTTGGGATCGAACGACCATTTCACGGGGGTCGCCAAGCAATGCAGTCCGCCATTTTTTTCCACTTTTCCTTAGCTGTGCTACTCCCTTTTCTTCTATCGGCTTTTGAAAGCCAATAGAATAGACTCTCTTGAATAGAGTCTAATTCTATTGGCTTTCAAAAGCCAATAGAAATTGTCCAGGCTGTCTCTGCCCTGCTGAGCCCGCCAAAAGTCCCAGTCTGCAAACGGTGCTGCACCAGTTGAGTAGTCCTCGACTTACGACCTGTTGAGTAGTCCTCGACTTACGACCGGTTGGGGGTCGGGGCATTAAAAAGGTTGAGAACCACTGTTCTAGAAGGAAAAAAAGCGGCACAGTCTTGCGTACCCCCATGAGGGAGACGGAAAATCTGCCCGGAGACAGAGAAAGCCCGCCAAAAACAGAGGGGGGTAGTGAGGTAACTGCACTCAGCCAATCGGAAGAGCTGATGGAATCTACTGGCTGTATATAAATAGCAGTTTGGGGGGGGGGGAGGCAGGGAGCACCTGCCTCAAGATTTTAGTCCTGAGTGTGAATTCTTCACCTCTGGGCAGAGGTTCTTCATAAGTTTCCACCCAGTCTTATGGGATTGTTGCCTGACACACATCAGATGACACATCACAGATCACGTGAAGTGTTAGTACCGCTTTATAATGCCCTGGTGAGACCACGCTTGGAATGCTGCATCCAGTTTTGGTCGCCACGATATAAAAAAGATGTTGAGACTTTTGAAAGAGGGCAGAGAAGAGCAACAAAGATGATCAGGGGACTGGAGGCTAAAACATATAAAAAACAATGGCAGGAATTGGGGTGGGTCTAGTTTAACGGAAAGAAGGACGAGGGGTGACATGAGAGCAGTCTTCCAGTATTTCAGGGGCTGCCACAAAGAAGAGGGTGTTCATTTATTCTCCAAAGCACCGGAAGGCAGGACAAGAAACAACAGGTGGAAACTAATCAAGGCAAGAAACAACCTAGAACTGGTATAGGGTCTCCTGCTTGAGCAGGGGGGTCAGACTAGAAGACCTCCAAGGTCCCTCAAGCTCAATTATTCCGTTATTCTGAGTTCCTGGGCACAGGGCCACATGCCCACTGAGCTCTCCTGGCAGCAGCCGTTCCAGGGCATGGGCTGCCCAGCCTCAGGGCCTGATACCCAGGGAGGCTGCGGTGCCTGAAGGGCAGGGGGTGTGAGTTCCCCGCCTGCCCCTCCCATGGTCCACACTGAGGAGTCTTTGTGAGTGCCAGCTGGAGGTGGATGCCGGCAAGCTGCTGCTGGGGAACAGCCAGCAAAGACCGGCAGGCTTCTGTACCCTTTAGCTAACCAGTCATCTGAAATGCCAAGCCCTCTCGCTTGGTCCCTAAGCAGCAACTCGGCAGAGGAACAGCTGGAAACTCTGCCTGGCTGGGACTCTCCATCAACTTGCCTCCCCAAAAGGGGCCACCGAGTAAACTCCAGTCTCCACATCTGGGCTGCTGGTGGGAAGTCCCAAGACTGTACATCTGCTGGAAAGGGTGCCCATCCCATTGCCCAGGTAGGTGCTGAGTCCCTTGGGAGGGTTTTCTTACCCATCTTCCACCCTGGACCCAATGGGGCTACTTCGTCCCAAGGGTCTCCATCCAGATCGAGGGGCAGACCATAGGCAACCAGCTCTGCCCCATCGGGGTCACATTGAGAAGATGGCACTGCCGTTTGACAATGACGTCTTGCAATTATCTCTGAGCAAATGAGCTTCTTTCTGATTGGGTCACTGAGCTGCAATCTGCTGAAGAATCACCTCTTCCCCGACCCACCAGAATGGGAAGGCAGGGCATGTTAAACAGGTCCCATTGATTAGGGGTGGTCATCTGGTGGGACCACAGAAAAGGGCCTTCTCAGTGGCGGCCCCTCTCTGTGGAACAGCGTCCCTCTGAGGTATAGTTGGCCCTTACCCTACTGCTTTTCCAAAAGGCCCTAAAAAACATATCAGTGGGTGTGAGGACCCCAATTGGAGACGGAGGCAATTAAGTGATTGATTTGACTGTGTTGCTGCTGCTGCCATGGGGGTGAGTGGGGAGGGTTTATGGGTCTTTATAATGTGGATTTTGAATGTTGTAAACTGCCCAGATATGGGTGAGTTGGGTGGTCATATACATAACATATAAATATACATATGTTTCATAAATAAAATAATAACGTTCTATAATTAGGCAAGCCCCACAATTGTGGCTTATTCAACAGACCATGATTTAAACCAT